TCTTTCAATGAAGTACCTAAGTTTCTTTGACCATACGATATTTTTTAGAATTTCTGTCGATTCTGGACTCTTTTGTTGGCATCTGTCAAAAAAGCTCCATATTTTACTGGACTTCTGAATGGTCAGTCCCAATACCTAGTCTACTGGGTTGCTCAATAAAAGCGCAATTATGATGAAAAAATGTATAATTTCTTGAATCATATTGGACCTCAGTCCCTCTCCCATTTGATTAATCAGAACACCCCCTCCCCTATTTTTAATAATAAGTTAATGTGCATTTTGCCCATCTTCCATAGGCTTTTGCATCAATTGGTCACATAGTACAAAACATGCCATAAAAAGAGTCAAACAAGAACCTGGAAGAGACGACATTGTTTTTGAAGGTGCTTACCMTTTATCTCTGAGCAAAATACATGTAACTTCTCCTTTGCTGACTAAAGATATTTCTTTGGCCATTTTGTATCATGTGACCAATTTATGCAAAAGGCCTATTAACTTATCAATAATTTGAATCTGACAAATAATTAATTTTATATGCTTGAGTATACGAAAGAAGATACAAAAAGAAATGCCTACCTCGTACTGATCTTTAATCTTGACAATATCAACTTCATCTCTCTGTCTTTCAAATTCTTTCCTTATTTCTTGTCTGTAATATCCTTTGTCTGTGTATCGTAGAGCTCTACCCTCTTTTAAAAGACTTCGATACAAATTAATAACCATCCTTGACCATTCTGGCGAAGGAATTCGCATTTTGTTGGAGAAATAAAAAAGGAAAATAATAATTTGTTACARCATTAGTCACATGGCAGATTAGTTTGGTCAGCGGTTAGTTATTGCAGGCTCAGTGACGCGACTCATGTAGTAAATACGCGAAGAAAGCAAAACTTAGAAAATACTCTCATTGTTATTTCATTTGATAAATTACTGTAATCATGCGAAGAAATAGTTCCATGACTTGCCATCACAAAGTCAACATTGAAAAATTTAACTTCGACCTTTTTCTTGCTGGGAGTCCTGTGGTGCGTTGTTTACATCGCTGACGGAGAGAGACTGGGCTGGTTTTTGAAAAAGTACAACTCCTTCAGAAKGTTCGTACTGTAAATGCCTGCCTTTGTTACTCAAACTATTCTGTATGTGAATCAGAATGGATGCAATCAACACTAATGTCAAGTAGAAATTTAACAGTTTGATAAAATGTCAGCTTCAAACCACAATGCAATGGATCGTGATGGTTTAAATGGCAGTGGTTTAGAGGAGTCGAGTGACGAATGGCGATCGTTATTTGAGACGTCGAAAGAGTCAGGTACCAGAAAATTAAAAAACTCAAAACTCATAAGCTTATAATCTAGTACTAAGTGAAGGAATTTCTTAGAATATCTCAAATTATAGGCATTTTATATATGGAGATAGAATGGAATTAGCTCGAAGGGAAGGTCGACTCATTTTCGTAGTAATAAAACTGTTTATATAATAAGGGTTGTTGCTTCTTCTAGCAGTGACATAAACAGGCCGGTACTTAACGTTTTCCACAAAATATTATGAAAATATTCTTTGGCTTTTTATACTGCAAACATTATACGACATCTTCATTCATATTTTGCTATATTATTATTCTGAAGTCGATTTTTTATTGCTATGATTTGATGTGTGAATTGAAAACTACATCTAATTTCATGGCTATAAGGACAGGTTGAAGGAGTTGCCAAGATACTGGTATACATTGGCTGACATTTGGGTCAAAATCCAGCTATTTTAAGACTTTTGATAATGCCAAGAWATAMCTTTGTCCTACCCAAATAGAAATTCTTCTATCGAATGTATTTTTGAGTGCTTCTGTAACCGAACAGCATTAGTCATATTTTCTACACTTTTTAAGCTTAATGGACTCATTTTCTTTTGAAATCACTTCCGATTTTAACTTAGATTTCCTGACACATGTATTGCTTGATTAGCATAAAACAAAGTACAGGTATTGAAAATTTCTTTATTTTTTGCCATACTAATGATTGAATAATTATTTGTTTTTTTTTATTTTTTATTGTAAAGAATTACAAATATTATATCATAAAGCTTTTTCTTAAAGAGTTGGACTGATCACTCCTAGAACTTAGAGATAAGGTAGAGAGATATTACAGTAATGAGCTTTTCTTTAATTTGCCAGCATGTTATATCCTCCAGATGTTGAAAGAAAACAATGAATGTTTTTATTGGAACATTTCTTTTGGAAAGTCTTTCMCAAGATCGATTCTTATGTAAACAGACTTGTACTTTTGTTAAATTCGCAATATGRATAATGCATACGTTGTATTTTTGTCTGATTGTTCAATTGTAATTGCATTGTAGCATAGTAATTGCATTCAGTCACAACGTCAATGGGTTCATTTATTATTATTAGATTTATTTGCTTTTTATGTCGTATATTATGATGACGATATTCATTCAGATAATAGTTTACTGATAATTATATCATTTTATGGTATTATCATATTACACACACTGTAAAACAATATGTCTTACTGTATGTCTTACATGGAGAAACCAAGAATGTGACTTCATAGTATTACAATACAAATGTATATCTTTCTTAGCCACATATGTAAAAAAATATATCAGTTGTTGTAATRTATGTGGTTAACCATAATGCTGTCAGTGAAGACACAATAAATTGGTGTCTAGTTATTGTGTGGCTTTTTATCTGTTAGATTATTGATATACCAGTCCTGTATATATTGTTGGTAGCTATCTGTCAAATGTTTTATTAAGGTGATTCTAGATTTTGTAAAGTGGATGGAAGATACAATGTTTACAGTGTAGAAGGATTATTTACCATCTTGTAACTCAATGAGACKGCAATTCTATCCCTTAAATGTTCCATTTTGTAAACATATACAGACAGTTAGTTACTGAGGTTTTACAATGACATTTTTTCTATTGTCAAAATTGTGTTGAAACAAAATGCATGATATCATTAATTGGATTACTGAGAGAAGCTGCATACTAAGTATTCYGATCAGCTACTGTAGGGTYCGTAAATGATTTGGCCTTTTAAAAGAAATTTTCATCATAAATTTGAGAAGTCATTTTAAATGACTGTTTGTATGTGGTAAGTACTGAATTTGATTTCTTGGGAATCGTAACAGTTACATGATCGTAAATAAATCATTTCACATATTGCTCACAGGGATTTTTAATGGAGCAGTTATAGGGAATAATCATTACCATGTGACCACTGAAAAGATAATGAGTGAGAGAGATTTAGGTTAAGAATATTGCTTAAATTCAAGGAAAGACGGGAGCAGCAACAGTATTTTTTTTATTAAATTACAGAGGAATAATGTCTTTTGTTTTCAAACTAGTGCTATTGAGCTAAGCAGTTATGCTAGTGAAATGGTCTTAATTGATAAGTAACAAGGGATGGTGTTGTCTTTTAGSTTATTCAGACGTYACTAAAKCAAAAGGGATGCTGCACTTAGATTTAACAAACTTTGAAGAGCCAGGAGCTGAAGGAAGCCGTTATGTGTTAACAAGTCCCAGGTCATTAGAGGTATGAACGAGGTGTTAAAACCTTCTTGACGAACCAGCTAATAATACATTTCATGCAATATTGAGTATTGATCATCTGAAAGGGGCTACACGGAYTGATTCCATAAAGTCATCAGTTTTTTTTTTAATCACAAAACAAAATTCAAAGGAGTCACTTCATTAGTTTTACTATATCCATAATTATATTTTTCCTTTCACAGGCTTGTGCAAGATTTGGTGTTAAGGTAAACAGCTAGTTAATAATTACATGTAAGGCAGTCAATACATCAATGCATCTATATATAGTTTCATACATGAAGAGATTTTAAAATCCCCTTTTTTAGAAAAAAACATATTTGTGAGATTTTTCATGTGATCAGCCAGTTACTCTGATCTGATGTTGTAGAAATGTGTGAACAGGAAAAGGGGCCGCATGCCTTCCAAATATTTTGTTCTTTAATAGCACTTGATGATTATGTGGAACTAAGGGTCAGGTGAACACAGCTATAATATGTCCRGAAATGCAATGATCAGGTCAATGTAGGCAAAACTAAATACTTCAAAATGGAAGAAATTGAATAGTTCTCATTTTTCTAAAGCAAATATGATATGGAAAAAATAAAATTGGCTCTCCAGTTCTATATTTTTCATAGGTTCTTTTTAGTAAGAATTCTTTCTTCAGAAAAAAAAAAGATTTTATCTTTACTAAAACCATTTTTAAGTATTGACTGAGGCTTTAAACTAAGGCTTCTTCCTGACATTCTGCCCTGTTCTTTCCATTTCTGGGCATCAATTTGCCATTAATAACTGATTGATTTAAAATAGGTGTGGTCATGTGACCCCAAGCTGCTAAAGTCCAACTGATTCCTGCAATAGATCRCAGAAAAATAATTTCCCAACAATTTTCTTGGTGTTTGTATGTTTGCTTAATATGYCAATTATTGGTAACCTTGCCAATTTCTGTTATGTCAGCCTGTTGAACTACTCCATAAATCGTATGAAGAGTTTATTGATGAATTTAAAGCTTTGTATGACACAAACTACTCACATGAGGCAATATTTGAAGTATTCCAAGAACATGAAAGACAACGGAAGAGTAAGTTGAATGTGCAGCTTTCTGRAATTTTTGTGATTCAGATGTAAACCAGATGTAAACCAAATGTTGATACTAATTTGCTWTAATGTTAGTTCCCAACTGCATTCAAGACTATTCTAGACAGAGAGAGATAGAGAACTCAAAGCCAAACAGTCTCAGCGTATTAATTATTATTAAATCCAAAAAAAAACAACAGTATTTTTCCATCTGCAAAGAATGAAGTTAGAGTTACTTGAGACAAAAAAAATCAAAATATTAAATTAAAAAAAAAAAAAGAAAAATATTAGCAAAACAAAGAGTAAACTAGAATTATAATTGAACTTACCTGCTGTAATTACCTTCGGAAAGTTTGAAAAAAAATCCATCATGGTTGTTTKCTGAAAAATATGTGAAAGAAAGGTTTCTCTAGCAACTTGGAAGTATTAAATCAGTACATTTATTAGTGTACAGGAATGTGTTGCACATAACTTTTTAATAAGAAATTATATGTTTTGTTTTCCAGGAAAGCTCCGACTTTGCCATGAAGAAAGAGACAGAATAAAGAGAGAACAGGAGAGACAAGAAAGAGATGTTATAGGAGATTTTACAAAAACAAGCCGTCGTTCACCCACTAAACAGATGAATGGTTGGTAATCTTGTAAAACAGCAGTGCTCATCAAAGAGAGTTTCTTTTAGGAAAGCTTTACTAAAATAATGATTTAAGAAATCACTCTTTTGGGTTCTGATATTGTTTTTTTTTCTTTAACTGAATATGGTGTAAAAAAAGAGTATTTTCCGTTATAGTTTTAACGACAGTACTTATAGACAAAGCCTTATGAATAATTGAGATGTGATGCTACAAATTCTTAAGTACTTCTCAATAAATTATTAAACAATGCTTATATCATCTTAGATATCAAAGAAAAAACAATGAARCAATAACTCTGCTTTGCTTCACAAGAAAAATGAAAACKTCCAGAGTTTCTTACGATTTTAGTGACGTTTTTTCCCCTCGGGTGCGTTTTGTTCTTCCAGATATATTAAGCGAATCTAGACATCATGTTTCAACACGAACCAGTTCATCACCAACTCAACAAGTAGAGCAAGAAACAAAAGATAACCGTTGGCATAGAAGTACTAGGGTTTCGTTTTCACCAGAACGCAAAGAAAGGTAAATACGATAWTGGCTTGAAAAATATGCTTGATYAAGTTTTTCTTTGAAAAGTAATTGTGAGGAAAAATGACAGGTTTGTTATTAGAGTTGTAGGTGAAACTTTCTGGAACTTTAGAGAAATAAACTAGGACTTTCATAGCTTTTTATATTGTATATTCTTTAAAGATTGACTTGCTTAATATAAACTTACTATAATACTAGAAATTACATTTCATATTGAAATATTAGAAATGTTACCCAGATGACAAAATCAGTTGCTAAACTAGCAATAACCATAAGCCTCAGTCTTTGATTTGAATGAAATAAGAAAGACAATGTTTATCCTGCACGGAAAGAAAGCAAACTACGTGCTGATGCTTTGGGCGTTAATTTGTGTCCTTGGAGGCAATGACAAATGAAACGTCGCAGCAGACTGTCTAACTATTATTTTGTGGTGGATTTTTGTCATCAATATTTTCTTTTAAAAATAGGAGTGGACATCGAGAAATGACARGAAGATCAAAATTAACGTAAGTGTAGTTATTTTTATAAAGGACGAGCATATAACAATAACCACCTAGTATAGGCTTCATCATTTAGTTAGTGGGCAAAGCCTTGTTTTCACTATTAGCGCAAACGTAAGCTCAAACATAACATCTTTTTTCCTAATGAAAACGTGAAAAAGTGCAAAATTGTCTAAAAAAACTCAGTCATCTACCTTGTATGATTGGTGAGCTGACATGTACAGTTAATCTAATGCGCAACGCATTGTTACGTTTTATCCTAGTAAAATCAAGCCCAAGCGGAAGRTTTAGGACATCTTTTTATTTCTTGTGTTTGCGTTTGCGTGGTTAGTGAACACAAGTAGCAAACCGGATTATAACTGATATCAAGAACTGGCATTTCTATTTATAGGAAAAGCCAAAGTTTTACGTCTCAYGGCGCTAGAACGCGAGGTGAAACATCCGACTCTGATACAGGAGATGCTATCTCAAGTCCACATGTCAGACGTGCAAGAARYCAGTGGTCTATCCCTAAGACTGGTTCTCTGCCTGCCTCACCCAGACTATCACGTCGAGAGAGTGAATCTAGTACTGGTTCGCTKACTCGTTTAACAAGTAAACCRAAGAGCCAAAATCGAGCAATGTCAACTGATTGTATTTTGAATGCKGTAGGRGGAGACAGAATGTCTGACAAGGTAATGCAATGTTTCCATAAAGACATAAACGCAGTAGCCATCTATCCATGCTTTTACGTGGTATAATTTGTAAGGTTATCATACGAAAGCTAAAATCAGATTGTATTGATAATATTTACTAATACTTGTAAATAGTCCTCAAAACTTGAACATTTTCACTATTYATGTGTTACATTCTGAACTTTTACAGCAARARAARAAACTTGTGTTCAAGGAATKAGTGTYTTTATTGTAAAACTCTAYACTCGAAAATGGCTTCTCTTGTCTSTCTTCTCTTTTTATCTCTTTCTTTTCTCTATGTTTTTTAATGCATCTCCCCTCAAAAAATAGGACCAGAAAATCATCGACTTAATGCTGACGAGACACGAAGAGGCAGAACAGCTTCGTTCAGATAAAAGGATGCTTGATCTTGCTTGGGATGACCAGAGACGGCTAGAGAACGACTTGCGGGAATCGCGAATGAGACAAAGAAATGCAGAGTTGTATGAACAGCATTCGGCTAAAGAAGTCAGACAGGTTAATATTTCTTAGTTTAGAATGAAACATAATATTTGCTATAAAAAGAAGATTCAGCTGATCGATACTCATTTTTTTTAATTCATAAATCAATCAAATGAATCAAATGATTTTTAGATGGAAGTTCGCGCTCGAAAGGAGAGGAAAGAGCAAAGACTCAAACAAGAGAAAGAAGAAGCCATTCGTGCTAAGCAGCTATTGTGGGAACAGGARAAACAAAAACAAGAACAGTCCTTGGTAAAGTTTCAATTTCTTTTCTGATTCAGAATTTGATCAAGGGCATTTTTTGTGATCGTTTTTTWKTTCTGTTTCAAGGCCAACAAGATTGAGTTAAAACGCCTTGCCGAAGCTGAAAAGAAACGACAGCAGGTACGACGTCATTCTTCCCGCGGAGCCTTAAATCTTGTACAAATGATAGCTCAATACAGAAYTTAAGCATCAATAATTTTTGAGGCGCYGACGTAAATAGGAAGTGAAATTTTACTTCCGGTTTGCAACAAAATTTTGGCGCGCCTCTACCTTTCTCACGTCCGTGCGTACTCACCTCGATGCGCGCCAAAATTTTGGCGCAAACCGGAGGTAAAATTTCTCTTCCGATTGACATCGGCCAGCCTCAAAAATTGTTGATGCTTAAGTTAAAAGTTCTGTAATATCTGGCTGCGCGACAAGCTTTGGTGCTTTTTCCTGGGAATCCAKTCACACCGATGCGTTTCTGCTTTGTTTTCTATTCTCTGAATGACAAACGGTACAAAAACACGTCGGTGTGGACGAGACCTGACTGACTCTTCACATTTGCTGCAGGAGGAAAAGCGTCGTCAGAAGCAACGAGAAGATGAAATGAATCGTAACATYGCTTATCTGTCGCTACTGGAAAAACACGAGAAGGCCATGAAAAATCGTAACTTAAAGGCAACTCACGAACAATTTGTAAGTATACTCTAGTGAGCTCGCCAAAATGACTGCGTTCCAACCTTACCGATTCTTTTATGAACGGTCATACCATATGTTTTAGAAATTGCAAATCCAAAATGAATCTGAGAAAGCCAAAATTATGGAAAAGAGAGAGGAGGTTGAGAAGCGTAAAAGGTAAAGTGTAAACCTGTTCACTTGATTTGTATTAAATTAAGCAAAAAAAAAAAAAAGAATAAGAGAAGAAGAAAAACAATTGATTGCTACAAAAATTGCCGCGTTAATAAAAGCGTGCGAAAACATTTTGCAGAACACGAAACAAAGCCGGGTCTTCCAAAATGATCGGCATAAACAATTTTTTGTTGTTGTGTTTTGCTTGTTTAGTGCTTTCCATATCCTCATGTGCGTAAGGTTTGTCGCATTTTGCTAAAAATGTACAATTAATTGCTATTGTGTTGCAGAGACGAAAAACTTAATTTGAAAAGTGAAATAACGGAAAAGCAYCGACGAGCTATTGAAAACTACGAAGAGGTTYTGAACCGCAGAGAAGACGAAATTCGCGACAGCAAGTATGGATTTGTTTTTRAATGCTGTTATTGTTGCTGATAATAATCATTTAATGGTCGTTGATTAATTGTTGTGCTATATCTTTTTAAGTGGTAAATTCTTCTCTTGTTAAAAAATGTTAAAAAATACTTTCTTAATCGAACCTGAAGTCCGAGAGTTCATTGATAGCATGCCATCAATACGCAAAGCATTCTGAGTAAATAGTTGTATTGGTAATAACATCCTTTCGGAGTTTCTTTTACATCTATTTTTCCTTATTTTTTTATACTTATAGCATCCGAATCAAGCGGTATTATATAAAAGTAAAAGTGATCTGATTTCCCCTTTGCCTTTTTTGCGCGGCTGGGTTGACTTGCACGAGATTTTTTTGACTCTTTGACTCGAAGAAAATGCCAGCTTATTTGTAGCTTGATGTGGGTATAATCGAAAGAGACCCCCATTATTGACTGAACTGTCTTTTTATAGGAGAAAAAAACGAGAAAAGGTGATCCGTCAAAGAGAACAGCTTTCACGAATGGAATCTGAATTAAGCAGTTGGCAGAAGAATCTAAAGGCCTATCAACAAGAAGTAAGGATGTTTT